TGTCGGTTATCAAAATCGTATACACATGTACTGACGTTCACATGCAAGCAAGGATCCTTTTTATTTAGCCAAATTTAAAGTTTTAGATGGCGTTAATGCAACACTTTGCATATGTGGTCACCTGATATTTGGCGGATGCTTTGGTATTGGGGTGGACCTTGTGCACTTGGGCTGGTCTTCGGATCAAGCAAAGGCTTAACTTCTTTCTTCTTTCTAGATTACAGATGTATAGCCCTATGCAATGCCTTTTTCTTTGTGATGAGAAGTACAGGGACGCCACACGAACAATTCATTAAGGGGCGGAATATCCATCGGTTCGTCAAACGTAGACATGAATAAATGTCCAAACCCACGCATACGTGCAAATCTGTTAAGAACATGCCTTATTTGACACCCTGGTTTAAATTAAAACATTGTGGACTATATAATTTAGTACTCCTAGAATTACTAACCCATGCAATTCTTAGGCAATGAAGTCAGATATAAAATGCAGAAATTTTTATGATCGCAAATCGTTTGTATTTTTACTTTTGCGCCAAAACAGAATTTAATACTTTGCCTGTAGAGATTATTTAATGATTTATAGTTTTAGTAGTTTATATTTTTTGTATGATACTATCTTTGTTTATATATTTTGTTATATAACGTCAAGGTTGGAGTGCCCTATTTAGAAAACCCTTACATCGTCTTCCCCCTGTTGGGTGCATCGTAGTCGTGCGGAAATGCTTCTCAAGAGTGCTGCCTTGCGCTTGAGTGAGTTAGCTAGACTTTCGGGCGTCAGTAATGTGGCTAGATTCTCCAATGTCACATCGGATTTGCCATTTCATAAAATGGTTGAAGTTTTCTACAACAATGCTGCCAAACACGTGGAGGAAAAGATGATCAAGGAGCTTCCTTGGAAGGGAGCATCTGAGGCGAAGAAAAAATATGTCAAGGGAGTTCTTGACAATATCAGAGCTGTTGACAACATTACAGAGTTTCACTTTCCTATCAAGAGAGATGATGGCTCTTTCGAAGTTATTAGTGCCTGGCGCGCCCAACATAGTCATCATCGGTTGCCCTGTAAGGGTGGTGTTCGATATGCTGCAGACGTAAACATGGGAGAGATTCTTGCTCTTGCTTCTTTGATGACCTTCAAGTGTGCTGTTCTTAACGTCCCCTACGGTGGTGCCAAGGGAGGTGTCAGAATTGACCCGAAGGCCTATTCCATTGATGAGCTTGAGCGTATCACTCGCCGCTACACTATGGAACTTGCGAAAAAGGGCTACATTGGTGCATTTTCTGACGTGCCGGCTCCTGACATGGGTACTGGTGAACGTGAGATGGCATGGATGGTTGATACCTACACGCAAACCGTGGGTGCGTTTACTTTCCTCAGAGTACTTCTTATCCCCCCTTGCAAAGTATTGATGTGCCTTATTTATGCTTTTAGGTTACCAGGACATAAATGCCAAGGGTTGTGTGACTGGCAAGCCTATAAACCAGGGTGGTATCCATGGTCGCACCGCTGCTACTGGTCTTGTAGGTTAAAACATTGATAGAGTTTAAAATATTCAGCGGGATAACTCGGGCTGTTTTCTTTTAGGGACTCTTTTACGTACTGGAAAACTTCCTCAACAACGAAGAGTGGGCCGTTAAATGTGGTCTCACGAGTGGCATAAAAGATAAGACGTTCATCGTCCAGGGCTACGGAAATGTTGGTCAATATACGTCCCAATTTATGCACAAGGCTGGGGCCAAGTTGATTGGTGTATTGGAGCTTGATGGAAGCATCTACAATCCAAACGGGATTGATGTTCCATCCCTCGATGCCTACAAAGCGAGTCATGGTGGCATATCCGGATTCCCTGGGGCTCAAGCCTATGCGAAGGGTAGTCTTCTCTCGGAGAAGTGCGACATTCTCGTCCCCGCAGCAAATGAGCGTCAAATCAATGTGGAGAACGCCAGCAACATCCAAGCCAAACTGATTATTGAAGGCGCCAACGGTCCAATCACGCCTCCGGCGGACAAGATTTTGCAGAAGAAGAACGTTCTCGTTGTTCCTGACCTCTTAGCTAATGCTGGTGGTGTCAGTGTCTCCTACTTTGAATGGCTGAAGAATCTGAACCACGTCAGCTTTGGCAAGCTATACTTTAAGTACGAGAAGGACAACCATCATCATATTCTCAGTACGTAGTCACTTAATGGGAATCGATGTCGTTCTTGGTATTGTTTAATCGTTTTTTTTTTCAGATAGTGTTGGGCAATCACTTGAAAATGCTTTTGGAAAAAAGATTTCTATCGAACCCACAGAGGAGTTTAAGGAGCGCTATGCAGTAGGTCCAAACCCCAATGACCTTCATAAGCCTTATTCGTTAATCGAAATGAATTGATGTCTTGTTTTATTGTAGCATATTTCGGAGGAAGATGTCGTTCGGTCAGGTCTGCACTACAGTATGGAACGTGCATCAAACGTGCGTCCACCTAGCTTACTTCTGAGGTGCATTTTCTCCCACTTATTGGTTTTTACTTGTCTTCTTTAGGTCATCATGGACACCTGTAAATGCTACAACCTTGGTTTAGATCTTCGTACGGCAGCTTATATCAGCGCAATCGAGAAGATCTTTTATACCTACCATGGATCGGGAATGACCTTCATATAGGTCAGAAAGCTTGACGGTTTAGAACTAAATAAGTACTTTCGCTACTGTAATTGTTAACCACGCCGTCCGACAAACAATATTATGAAGTGGGATCCTGTGTTTACTGTCGTCTTGTCAACATGAGTGTAATGTAGGCCGTCAACGTTTACCACGTCTAAAATTTTTACAACTGTGACGCATTCGAATCAAGATGAGAGTGATTCAAATGATCCGTCTCTGGTTCAGTCACTTCTCATGGTTAGGCTTGTAGCCTTGTCACCTTGGCTTTGCTGGAGCAGGTCTGCGGCGGTTGCGTATTGTTGCCCAATGCAACCGACTGACGTACGTGGCGCAATCGTAGTAGGTCGCGAAGTGGTTGCCTTTGGGCAAATAAGGTTGCTGAAACTATTCGCGTGACTGTTGGACTTCATGTGGCACAGTTTTGGCTGTTTCGTTCAAAAGATCAATTCGTTACCTTAGGAAATGCATTTGTTAATGGTGATGCAGGGGTCGCTGCGGCATCACTTTGTCATTGGCTTCTAGGTCATCGACGGGGAGAAGAGAGCAGATAACGAAATTAGGCGGTTCACACCTCGTCTAACAGTGAACAATGTTCTAATTTTAAAGTAAAGCCATGAGAAAACAGGGGGGGAGGGGAGTGAGGGACTTGGTTATGTAAGAAGAACCCTTTAAGTTCATCTATAAATCAAAACTAGGAAGGGGTAATGCGGTTCCTTTGATGAGCAAGCGTGCATTCAAAAACGGGACTAGTTGTCCAAAAGTGAAAAATTGGAAAATGGAATTAAACCCAAAAGAATGAGTAGGCAGCAAGAAAAGTTCAAAGAATCATACACACCCACGCAACTGCTACTAATCACACAATGGTTGCCCACCTAGCTGCTCAGCACTACCACTTATTTTACCGATCTATTCGAAGACTCACAACTTCTACACATTTTAGTCGCTAGAATCAAGCACAGGATTAGGTGAAAAATTACCACCAATACGACCCAACAAAATCATAA